GGAATGGTCTGTCAACAAGACAGCCTGTGGCAGTCACAAACCTTTTATTATAGCAAAGTGGCAAGAAGAAATCTGTAGACAGCTTTTAGAGGGTGATTTTAAAGCTCACTATAGACTATAAACCAAGCAAACATGACAAAAAGCTTCCAACATACAGATGAGGAAAAATTGGAATTCTGATGTAAAACATGGTGGTGGCAAAATAATACTGTAGGAATCTAATACAATAAATTAATATTCACAAATGCTTTCCATTCAGTCTGATTGGGTTTGAGTTAATTCTACGAGAAAGAAAGAGAAAAACCTTCACTCTGAAATTGTTAAAAGAGCAAATTATTGAAGCTATTGCTGCAATCAAAGTACTTTTTTTTCTTATTTTTCATTACAAAACTTGTTTAGAAAAGCCCTGTAATATTTTCTTACCAGTTCTTAATGTAGGTATTTTGATTCAAGCCAAACTTTTTAAAAGAACTCTAAAGATTGAACAAGATGTATTCTACAGAAGAGGATTAGGGCCACTGAAAAAAAGTTAACTGATTTTTAAATTTTATTTAGTTTAACATGGGAAAAAAAAGTCAGAATTCTGACTTTAATCTTAGAATTCTGACTTTTTTCTCAGAATTTTCACTTTACTCTCAGAATTCTGACTTCTGAAAAAAAAGTCAGAATTCTTAATTTTTTTTTCAGAATTCTGACTTTTATCTCAGAATTCTGACTTTTATCTCAGAATTCTCACTTTACTCTCAGAATTCTGACTTCTGAATTCTGAAAAAAAAAGTCAGAATTCTTAATTTTTTTTTCAGAATTCTGACTTTTATCTCAGAAGTCTGACTTCTGAATTCTAAGTAAAAAAGTCAGACTTCTGAGATTAAAGTGAGAATTCTGAGAAAAAAGTCAGAATTCTAACTTTTTTTCCCATGTTAAATTGAAATAAAATTTAAAAATCAGTAAACCTTATTTTTTGTTCAGTGGCCCTAATCCTCTTCCGTAGAATTCAAAGAAAATTGTTAGTGGTTAAAAAAAATAGTCTTATTTAGATTTGTTTAATAGTGCACCCTCTGAGACCCTCCTAAATCTCTTCTAGTATTTAAAAAAAAGCCATTACACTTTCAATGTTCTGTAATTAAAAAAGATGAACAGAAAAAAATCTATTTTTTTATTATAAACAACAAAATGAAAATTCACAAGATCTGTGAAAAAGTATGTTTTTATTGGACGTTTCACAAGAACATAAGCCTCCATCAAACGATCACAGCTTTATCTATGCATAGGCTACAGACATGTCTGGATATTTAACGATGATCATCAGTATGACTTAATAAGCAGCCCTGTCTGAGTCGCTGTCGGGATCATTTCTGAAGGTTTCTGGCTTGAGGGGAAAGTATCATGGACGCTTCCAGACCCGGTTTTAGACAAGAAAAAAATATAGAGAGAGAGAAAATGTGGATCCGTCAGGGTTTGCAGAAATGACACTTGATAATTTTCTTGAAGGCGCTCTGAAAGTCTTTGTTAAAGTACGCGTAGATGATTGGGTTGAGCAGGGAGTTGGAGTAACCCAGCCAGTTTATAACGGCCTCCAGCCAGCCGGGCATGTAGCAGGAGTCCCGGCAGAAAGGCATCACCAGAGCCACGATGAAGAAGGGCAGCCAGCAGAGGATGAAGGTCCCCATGATGATGCCCAGGGTCTTCACCGTCTTGCGCTCCCGCGCCAGCGCGATCTTGCGCTTGGCTTCGGTCGCCTTTTCGTGTCGGCTCTCGAACACCGGCGCGGAGTTCGGGGTGTTTGGCAGAGGCAGGTGGCCCCTGGAGCTGCTGTGCACCTCGATGATCTCCAGAGACTCGCCGTCCTCTGCGTGCTTCACCGCGCCGTTGACGGTGGGCAGCGGCCGCGGCTCCACGCTCCTTTTCCAGCTCTTACCCTGCGCGGCTCCGTGGGGCTTCTTGTGGAAGAGCGCCGGGGACAGCGCCAGGCACGAGTCGGAGACCTTCTTTTTCTCGGTTTTACGCACAGTCCTCCTGATCCGGAACCGCGCCGCTTTGAAAATCCGCCCGTACAGCACCAACATTAACATGAGCGGGATGTAAAAAGCCCCGAAGGTGGAGTATATCGTGTACCAGGGGTCCTGCCTGATCTTGCACTCCATCTGGTTGGGCTGTTCGTCCGCTTCGCTGTTCGGCTGGGAGCGCATCACCAGCATCGGCGGCACAGAGATGGAGAACCCGACCAGCCATGTGACGCTGATAAGAACCGCTGCTCTCCTCGGCGTCCTCTTCTTCATGTATTCAATGGGCTCGGTGATCGCCCAATATCTGTCCAGCGCGATGGCGCACAGGTGCAGGATGGACGAGGTGCAGCACACCATGTCCAGGGAGATGAAGATGTCGCAGGGAATCGGCCCCAGCGTCCAGCGGTTCAGGACCTGGTAGAGAGCCGCCATGGGCAGCACCAGCACCGACACCATCAGGTCGGTAACGGCCAGAGAGCCGATCAGGTAGTTGGCCACATTCTGCAGGGAGCGCTCCAGCGCGATGGCGGCTACGACGCAGGCGTTCCCGAAGATTGCGCACAGGATGAGCGCTCCGAGCATGAAGGAGGTGACCACCTGGTAACTCAGCTTCACCTCCTCATCGTCAACTTTAGGGGGTTCGGTTAAGTTTTCAAAGTAAGACCAGGTTGTGGTGTTATTGGTGCCATCCATGGTAGGGGGAGACCCGTGCGTTTGGAGAGAGTGCGTTAGGAGAACCGGATGCGCATCCTTTGAGCGCACATAGCGGAATGCGCTGCAGAGGCGCTCTGAACTGCAGGTCGCGGCTGCTGACGGAGAATGATGCATCTTATTTATACCTGTGATGGAAAATGCGTCATTTCTCAGTGAGGATGATGGAGTCAGACCGGTTCTGACTGCGCCTGTTTCAGTCTCCAGCTCAATGACAGCTGCGTAAACTATGAAGAATAATCTTTTTAATTTAAACGGTCGCCATGAAAAAAGTAAAAATATAGAGCTTGAAAATTTCTGGTTTTCCATATCCAACAATTGTGTTTTCTTTCACTAAAGCTTCTGTGTTCTCAGTATCATGGTCAGAGCACCTGAGTGACAACAGATCAGGCCCTTAGAGCGCC